TACGATGGAGCTGTTGCAATTTGAGAATATATGCGTGAAGATAGTTCATGGTCGAGTTAGAGAGTCAGATTAAGCACTATTAAGCAGTTGCATGACTACCAGGAGACCTTGCTGTACGCAGAGGAGGCATATGGAGGAGTTGAAAACAGAGGAAAGACTCACTGATTTACACGACCAGCCTCTTCAAAATCAACGGAAAAGGTCAAATTTTCACAGATCAACATGGCTCAAAAGCAAGTAAAATCATATTAGAGGGTATAAGGAGGAAAATTGACGAGTTACAAGGTGAGAAACGAAGAAGTAAACGAGAAAGGATGTATTTGAATCTACATGAACGCCCGGATACCCATTCCCTTGTACGTGCAAAAGCCAAACAAATACAAACCCAGACCACACTCTACGGACCTCACATGAAACCACTTGCTTCGCTTCGCTCGCAACAATTGCAACTTATCACTTGTATCCCGAAAATTTGCGAGAGCTGCAATACCGAAGCACCTTCCTTTCTGTATCTCTTTTCCCCAGCCCACGCCGGGTCCTTGCTCTGCAACGACAATCCATTCAACTTGAATCACATTCACCCCCCGCTAGTTAGGTCCGGTTTTGTTCGAACATAGTCTGAAGCTTCGTTGACCATACTAAGGCTTCGATCGTTTATCGCTGGTATATCGTAAGTAATCGTTACTCAGATGAATCAAGTTCATCCATTCAGATTTATAAACATCTTGCTAGATCTTGCTTTTGTTGTCTTCCGCTCTTATGTCGCGCATTCTCGAATCACATAGAATGCAAGAAGACTGGACTCAAGTTCATTCAAGCTCATAACAATCTCAAGTGAGTCTGGTGTGTACACGTTCATTCAACACATCCGATTCGAAGTTCGAAGCATCATCTACACGCGGTTTACCTCTATGAGCTCCAGTCTAATCTTGATTTGGATGGCAAGAATGGTCGCAGTGCGCGCGCGGGGCGCTTCCTGTCACTCAATTCAGGTATCGAAGTTGCCCATCTAGCATAACTTTGCCCGATCGTTTCACAACGTTTTCTCGGATTTTTTGCTATGTATGACATTGAAAACAAAGTTCCACCGATAATTTTAAAGCGCAGACGTCTTGCTCCACCACAGTTGACTGGGGTGTCTACCCTTGGCCCTGGTTGAATCGGAATGCAGATTGCACAGTGCATCCCACTGGTGGATTTTGATTTTCTGTCAATTATACCATTTCGACATACTCGATAACCCACTCGGGATTTGGTTTAAAAGGGTAAAGCTACACTCGGCTTTTATCACAACGCCCCCAGTATTCCTCAACTTGCAAGCTCGTTCCAAGCTCACAAGCTTCACCAACTTCTTACTATCATATTACCACAAGTTTATACCCTTGGTAAGTTTTGTTGACCTCAATTGAATGAGTACGATACTCATGAACTAGCTTCAGAACCATGCCTTTCCCTGCTTCCTACAAGAATCCGCGCCTCATCAACAGATATCTGACAGTAAACGTCCCAGGTAGAGGTGACCTCGCCTTGGATCTCGACACATGCCTTGGCATCTCAAGGGGAAACTTTCAATGGGGTGGACGCGGTGGCTTCTCGAATGCAACGGGGCAGTCCCTCAGTGGCTCCGACCTAACTGGAGATATAACATACAATAGCAGAACAGTCCACGCTCATATAGACCTTAGCGAGAGAATTAGGGTGATCAATGGGAAGCTAGTCTATGCAGCCCCTGCTGTCAATAGCGAGTCAACATCCACCACGACCACGCCTCGCTCTACGACACCAATAACACCTTCTCCGAGTCCCAGAAGGTGAGTGCTGTTTCCTTTCGATATCGGTTTCTCATAGATTGATGTTGAGCGAAGTCCTGGCTCTCCTCCTCCTCCCTCATATGAAGCCACTTTTGCAAGAGAGTTCTCTGAATTTAAGCAAAGTCACAAATCGTGAGTGATATCATGATCTTCGCTGTCTATTCGATACGATACAACCTGCCTTCTCTCTTCCTAGGAGCTATACTGCCCGATCCTCTTCCTTCTTCAAGTTCAGCGTGCGCGAGCTCCGGTTGAACGGCTCGGTCCTTCATGCCGAGTGTCGTCGTGCAGGTCACACCGAGTACTTTCACTCTGAGCTAGATCTCAATGCTCACATTGGCGTCATTGACGGCAAGCTCGTGTGGGGACGAGAGGGATTTTTCTCTGCCTGCAAAAACGTCAGGATCAAAGAAGGTTTCATTCTTACAGCAGAGTGTAAAACCAATGCCGGGGATTATGTCGAATCTTCCCTTGACCTCAGTCGATACCTTCAAGTATATGACGGAGTCCTAGGTCTGAAAGTTGCTGCCGAGAACTCCGAGCTTTCCACGTTCTTCAGCGAAGCCAACTGGATGAAGTTCAGAGTAGTCACTGAACCCGATCCTATTGGAATTCTTGGAACTCTTGGGGACAAGGCTACATTCAAGAATGCCTTCAGTACTCTCGCTCAGACCACCAGTGAACATGTCATCGCTGAAATGTCCCAGGAGCTCTCCGTGGCAGCAGCTCGGTATGTGAAGGATGCTGTCACAGACACAGTCAAGACCCAAGTGACCTCGATAGTTGCCGATGCAGTGTCTACACGTGTCCGAGAAGAAATCGAGAAGAAAGTAGACGAGATATTTGCAACCGCTCGGGAATCCGTACTCAAAGCTTGTTACACCATGGCAAACGAGGCCGCAAACGATGTAACACTTCAGTACACAGAATCAGTCGTAGGTCCAATGGAAGAAAAGATTACCGAAAACTGCAACCAACTGGTCCAGTATGCTCTGAAGGAGGTCAGCGAGTCTGCCATTGGCCAGTTCCAAGAACGGGCGGAAATTATGATGGAGCGCGAGATTGTCGGCGCTGGTCTCCGTCGCGCTCAAACGCAAGCCAGACTTCTCCAAATGCTAGCGGAGACTGTTCATGTGGCTTAGTATACCATGTGGGTTTGAAAACCCTTGTTCTCTTTCGTTTTCTCCGTCTTCGATTTTTCTAGTGCGACTTGCGCTTGCGCAAGGCTAGTATAGTCTTGAAACTGTCGTCTGTAGTATGAGCCAATTGATTTGTTGCTGTTGTGCAAGATGGTGAATTTGAAGAGATCTTTGAAGAGTCGGTTCAAACTATTCGTTCAAAGCCTTCAACAAACAATGCCATCAGACTGTCCGGCAAGAGTAGATAAGCGCCCGTATGTTACCACCTTCCTTCACGAGCCTATATCGACTATTCCTGCGGACAAGCTCAGCATCCGTGCTTCATCAACCTCGAGCCGTGCAAAACATACGTTCGCTTTGGCGACCAATATTTGCAGATGCTGCTAGTGTTATCAAAAAGCTCCAAGCAAGCCTGTCTGAAGGAGAGCGAGAATCTCTTCAGAATTGGTTGAGGATATGGGAGACTCGAAGTATGTGCTCGCCTTTCATCTCGTCAAGATGCTACTAATGGATGCCCGCTACCAAGTGGACCGCACCTTGTCTCTTCTCTACACTTCGGCGACATCTCGTGGACTTCCTCACCAACTCACGCGCAATCTTTCACAGCTATATTTTGCAGAATATGCCCGAATGTCAAGTCGAAGGTTTCCAGTTTGGAATGCCCAACTGCCTTCGAATGCTCGAGAATATCAGATCCCCGTTCCTGAAACGAGTTTGAAGGCTATACATAAAGAGGAGAAAGCGCGTCAGGCGCAGTATCTGGAGGACCGTGCATGGAACACTTTGAGTCTTGCAGTGAAAATGGCAGAGGGTCGTGATAGGCTATCGTTAGGAAGAGTTGTTGTAAAGAGCAAAATATGGCATGGTTGATTCAATCATTCGATAAAGCTCAGGACCATACTGCATACGCGTCTATTCACGAGGCCGGATACAAAAATTATACCTGTAATCGTTGTGGAGGTGGTGAAGTTGGCACCTCGATAATCCTCGCCTTCTTCTCCTCCTCCTTCTGCGTGAATGCTTCCCACAGCTTCCTTTTCTTCTCCTGCTTCTCCTGCTTCCTCACTTGTACCATAACATCAACGTCATGTTTAATCTTTTCGTCCCGCGCTCTCTGTCTGCGTCTATTAAGATGATCCCAGTCTACTCCGCGCCCGACCTCTGCTCCAAGGACTTCAGAATGGCCGACTTTGTCTTTCGGCGTGACTTTTGCCCTCTGCGTAGGCATCCACAAGTGAACGGTGTGCGAAATGGTTGCAGGGGGAGAAGACACTGAGGGTGTCGATGACCCGGCGACACCTAGTTTGCCGTTTCCGTTTCCGTTTCCGTTTCCCTTCGTCTTCGTTTTGGTTTTCGTATTCCCGAAATCTACCTTGGCTTCTGGAGCAGCATGAAGCCTCGTTCCCGTCGTCATTCGAATCTCTTTCAGTCCCTCAAGTATGGGCAATATTTGAGATTTCAAAAACCTGTGTTATACAAGCATTAATTAGTGTACGAATCAAAACCAACATTATGACGCGAACCTCATCGACCGGATAGGATGATCCATATGTGGTGGACTGGGTGGAGGTGTCTTCCTCTGACCGGATTTCGTATAACGAATCTCCGTATCCCGGTGTTCATGCACATATTTCTCGAAATTGGGAGGAGGTGCCTCTTTCAGCGCGAGTCTATACATTTCCGCTGTCGTCAAGCCTGCCTGCTTGAATTGTTCCGTGGCAAGAAGTTTTCTGATTATCGAAAGGCTTTGGGAAATGACTGAGGATTTGGGCTGGCCGCGAAGTATAACGGACGACATCACGGAAAAGACAGAGGAGAGAATGGATGGGCGCTTGAACGCCTAACTTTGGTATAAAGCTGGTAATAATAGGTATAAAGAGAAGCGCCAACCTTTGGCTACTATGCTAGTAACTCAAAGTTGATATTGGTGCTTTCTTTGACGACAGCTGACTGGAATGGACTACAGTAGAAGAAGTTTTACAAACTGTTTCTAGCAGCCCATATGTCAGACAGACAACATAATACTCAGCAAGCAAAAAGAAAACAGAAAGGGGCGCACCCGGGATTGAACCGGGGACCTCCTGCACCCAAAGCAGGAATCATACCTCTAGACCATACGCCCGTTCCCAGAACTCCAGATATCACAAATATCATCGTTCTCAAAGTTTTCAGCTACAATGGCCTATTTATTATTCCTCACCGAATGAACGTTCGCCTTGGACAAGTACATCTATTACGCGGTACGTTCACTTGAAGCATTGTAAGCTTGTCAGTCCAGTAAGCCCAAGGTGCAACCCGGGCCTGACGCAATATTCACGACACAGCAGGAATCGTCAATTACCGAACTCGAGCCATTGGACAACTCATTCAACTTTAGCATACTTGTTCTCTAACTTTGTAATTGAAAGCATGATACATACATTCGTTTCTTCTATATAATCTACTCATTCTACCTTCTTGAGAAGGGAACGTCCAGACATCTCTAGATAGAGCAGCACCAGCCATCAATAAAGAATGAATATCATCAACGATGAATAACATACCTTTTGGCTGTTCCAACCCCAAGAGGTCCAATACAGTCGGGGCAACATCACACAACGCCCCCGGCTCCTGTTCACCATCCTCCTCAAACTGGAACTTCTCCGGATCACCAGTCATGATGAACGGAACTGCATTCGTAGTATGTGCCGTATGCGGAGCACCTGTTTCCAGATTCTTCATCTGTTCTGCATTACCATGATCGGCCGTGATCAAGAGGATATATCCGGCGTCCTGACAAGCCTTGTACACCGTCCCTACCGCATCATCCGTGTGTGAGATGGCTTCGACAGCAGCCTCGAATACCCCTGTGTGTCCCACCATATCCGGAGGTGCGAAATTGCACATCACGAATTCGTGTTTTGATTCACGAAGAATTTCAGCGACTTTGTCGGCTACACCCTGTACTGACATCTTTGGGTCCTTATCGTAAGTAGGGACTTTGGGAGAAGGAATCATATGTCGCTCTTCGTTTTCGTATTGTTTCTCGACGCCCCCGTTGAAGAAGAATGTGACATGTGCGTACTTTTCGGTCTCTGGAGAAGGTTAAGCGGGTTTAGGAACATGATCGTCAAGGCCATGAACATACCAGCAACATGAGCTTGCTTGACACCTTGTGATGCAAGGGTCTCAGCGAGTACATTGGTCATCACCTGAGGTGGGAAGGCGACAGGAAAAGGAAATTCGGAGTTGTATCGCGACATGGTGGTGATATGCTTGAAGAAGGAAGCCTCAGTATGATTAGAGGACGGGAAGGAAGAGACGAACCAGATCCTTAGGGACAGTGACTTCCATAGGTTTGTCCAGAGAGCCGAGAACAGTAGCAATCTCTCGCATTCTATCAGATCGATAATTGAAAAGGAAGAGAGTGTCGCCGTCTTCAAACTCGTATCAGTTCCCTATCGTCGCAAGGAAAAGGAAAATTGTATGCCTTTGATTCTGCCTTCGTCACCATTGATAATTATCGGCTTCAAAAACTCATCGGTAACATCCTTCTCGTAGTTTCCTTTGATGGCATCCACAGCGGATGTCTTCGTATCAACTAATTTCTCGCCCTCGCCACCAACAAGACCATCTACAGCAATCTTGATCCTCTCCCAACGCTTATCACGGTCCATGGCATAGTATCGACCAACTATCGTAGCCAGTTCTCCGTATTCCTCTTTCTTCATGAACTCGAGCAGTTGTTCGCAGTAGCCGGCAGCGGAACGAGGAGCTGTGTCACGACCGTCGCCAAAGTAGTGGACATAAGTATGTGGCACGCCTTGTTCCTTGGCGGTTTCGAGTAGAGCGAAAAGATGGTTGATGTGCGAATGAACACCACCATCCGAGATCTAAAAGAAATACGCGTTTTCAAAAGGTTTGTTGGCAGAGCAGACGCGAGAAGATGTACCAAACCAAGAAGATGTAATCTACCGTTACCCTCTTTTGCTCTTTTCATGCTTTCGAGAATAGTAGAATTCTGGTGAAACTCTTTCTTCTTGAGAGATACATCGATCCTCACAATATCCTGCCAGACGATACGACCAGCACCTATGTTCAGATGGCTTTGATGAAAGAAATGAGAAAACCGTAGGATGAGTCGAGATGCCATTTGCTTACCCCACTTCAGAGTTACCCATAAGTCCTTCACTGAGTCCGACAGCTGTCCCATGCGCAGACAGCTTCCGGAAGCTGTGCTCCTTGGCGATAGTGTCCATGTTGGTCGTTGTACCGGCTTCAATGGCATTTCCTTCGAGGCCAGGTTCCGCCGCGATACCCCATCCATCGTGTACGCTGTAGAGCAATATAGTGTTTGTGATGATTATGCATGGATATGTCAAAGGAGAGCATACATAAGACAGACTTTGTTTTTGACCTCAACCATCTGTGAGCACGTTGGATTTTAGATGATAGATGATGTTGATAAAGAGGTAGATAAGTAAAAGTAAAGTACGGAGTTTACGTCATCTTCCGAGCCCTGGACCAGAGCGAGTCTTACTTCGGACTTCAATCAAGGCTTTGTCGAGATTCAGCTCGACGCAACGTCCAGGTGAAAACTACCATGTATCATGATCATAGTAGTCTCAAGGGTAGCACAGAAGCACCTAGATGTAGATCCAACACTATCGCCGAAGACATAGTGGAACCTTGTTGTTTAGTTATCATCGCTTTCTCCCTTTACCGCCTAACCTCAAGTATTATACTCAGCTCCTTTGCTAGAACAGAGAAAAAGGAGAGCAATCTCGTTGGAGTATGAAGTTCATGCTGCAACCTGTCCAACTCGAGTCAAATTAGACTAACCATCCATGTAACCATCCCTTCAAGTTGCTGTAAACTTAACGGACGCCGCAGAGCTACAGCATATACTGGAGCCTCTTCACTCAGACAACAGGTCAAGTTCTCTCCACTGTGTGATTCATGTCAAGTCCTGTATAACAAAAGCCATAGACACATGTGCGTACCCTGGCTCGGGGACGGAGCTTACCCCCAGTAAGAGAGCGGCTGATTCACCAGCGTTTTTGGCATGCCTCGAGGTATCCTAGTAAGCTGATGGTGAGCGCGGAGGTGCAGTGGGTGGCGTTTACTAAGCCGGAAGGAGGAGGGCTGGGTTTGAGGCCTGAGGTTTAGTGGGAGATTTCCTGTCGGATAGAATACATGATCCCGTGCGATATCTGAAGATGCGGAGGGAAGTTATGGAGATATTATCTCTCGAGTCATGAGAAACACAGTCTCTTCACCGCTGAAAAACCAGTCCATGGTTCGGACCGATATTGGGACCTAGCTTTGTACAGCCTGGTAGTGTCCCACTGACAGTGAGAGACAGCAACGCTCTACAGCTTTGGAGTCGTGTCATCCGTAGTAGTCGAGGGAATTCCATGCGCATGAGATTGATATGATAACAACATAGATAGATGCTGTAGTAATAATGTAAGCCTGGTATAGGATGAGTAGAACCGAGTCATTTTTGGGATTTAAATTATATCAGAGATTATGCTGGGCGATATGGCGCATGATAGTCAACGAAGCGAGAATTTCTGATTGCGAACGAGAACAAAGCAACGAGATAGTCAGGGAAAATTCACGCAGATTTCAACAGAGAAGACTAAGCTCACCGACAGAGAGGTGGATAAATTGTTCAAAGACCGTCAATGTGTTCCCCGACACATCGTACGCTCGAACATCAGCTGGTTTGAGATCAAAATGTGCGACGATATAATTCTCGGGTCCTGTGGTGCACTATATATAATGGCAAGAAGTACATGAATCGTTATCAGCATCATGCAACAAGCGAGGTAATGCACGCAACGAAAGATAGCAATCAAAAGATTATCTATCTACTCACAGTCCATTCTTGTCCTTGTACACTCCGATAACTCCACCTATACTCTCTGCCATCGGACCCGGTAAACTTTCTTGATAACGACCTGGATGAAAGAATTTCCCCAAAGAATGTTTAGCCTTCAATGACACAATTCCCGAACTCGAGTCACATAACTCACCCTCCGAACATTGAGGTCTTCTTGAGATAACGGCTCATGGGTACCGCGACGTTCCCATTACTTGCATAGCATATGTTCCCCAATGACTGGTCAGGCTTGAAGTCGAGAATGGCAATCGGCCGTTTATGGAACGGTAATGAGTCGCGATGACGGTTTGCTCGTCGACCCATGTCATATACCATAGTCGCACTCCTTTGTGGATCGCGAGCGACACGATAAAAAAGTCGGTCGTACATGTCGTCGAAATCTGACGCGTCATGTTGACCAGTACGGTCTTCGAACACATAGGGAAGTGGCCCGTTGTACATCGTTGATACGAAGTCCTGAGAAAGGGAGGTGTGTGAGGTGGGACCACGTAAGGATGTAGGTGAAGACTGCGAAGGTGAAGGGGGGATATGGGCAGACAAAGAATTTGCTGACAGGTCTTATAAAGATTTTCGCATGAAGGAGAGTGCCGACTGGGGGATATTCAGCGCAATAGATGTATATAAATACATAGCGAGATTTAGCGTTTGTTCTCCCATTATACTCGCGAAGCATTTTAGGAAGGCCCCACATGTATATCATCGAAGCCCAAATCGAGCCCTTTGTGATGTTAGCACGGTTACGATATCTTGGGTGTAGATTTGAAGCGCCCCTTGCTAGGCCTTGCTTGGTGTTCACTGTTTTGAATCTCATGATATGATATGATTCATATCGTACCTTATGTCGTTCGGTTTGATGACCACAAAGCAACCCGGGATCTACGTCCGAGCCAGATGTATTCACGGCACAGGAGAGTGGGTTATATCATCAGCGATATCATCGATGCCAGTTTGGCATTCAGTTTGAAGCCGATCAAGGGCACAACTCCCTGTTGGCGAAACCTCAGCGTTCAACTGGTAGGGTACACCTGTTTGAGAAAGACAATGATATCAGCACAGAAGCGACATCCGAAAATGGGAATCATCTTCCATGAACTGGAAAATTTGACACCTGCCGCAGTCTTGATCCCATTCCGTTATTTTGGTCTTTCACTCAGAGATGTGGGGACTGAATCTAGGGAGACCTTGGCCTACACAGTTTGTCGCATCTGACCAGTCATGAAATCAAGAAAGACAGA